CCCATGCTGACCTCCACGTTAATCAGCACCGTCCACCCGTGGGGACTGAGGAACATCGTCAGCACACAACCGAACACCAGGAACAATTACTGGCGCTTCAGCTCGCAGCTGAAAAAAAGGGCCCCAAGGCTTAAGGGCACTCGATCCGAGGGCTCTTCTGCAGACCCTTCAACGTGCGAGAGAACGCAGATGCCACGCTCTGCCCACGCGCATCATCATGGGAAACCGCACTACCGCAAAGAACTTCCTCGGGCGGCGGCCTGCGGCCCTGCAGTTTGGCCGCCAAGTGCGGAACGATGAACAACGCGCGATCCGCGAGCCCGCTAGGCGACCTGAGGAGGAGCTTGGCGCTGGTGAGGACGGGCTCGAAGTCGCCCTTGACCCGCTCCAGCTCGACACCCAACTTCACGATTGCACGATCAGCGCACAGCCTGGCCCAGTCGCGCCGAGATTTGCGGTCGGCAGCACTTGGGCGCCCGAGGCCTCGTTCCTCCTCGACGCACACGGCGCGCCGTCCCGTAGCCATCCAGGGCACACCCGCAGCCACCGCCGCCGATCCACCGGCCACGGGCGAAAGGGCGGCAGAGAAGGCGGGAAACACGGCCTGAGCCAAAATGGCTACGGAAGGGAGGGGAGGGGAGGAGGAGGAGGAGGAGGAGGAGGAGGAGGAGGAGGAGGAAGAGGAGGAGGAGGAGGCATTGGACTGAGACGCCCGCATTCTTCACCCGGAGTCTTTCTCCATTCTTGCGGAGCGATTGGACCGTGCCGTGTTGGACACATCTTGCAAAGCAGTGCGCGTGGACAGGCTCACGGTGGAGCAGGAATCGTGCTTAAGGCTGTCTGCAAAACTCGGTGGGTGCGACGTGGTCAGCTGTGCTTTGAAAGCGTTGTTCTCCCACCTCGCCGGGGCGGTTCAGTACTTGCCTGCAGTGGCGCGGAGGCTCCTGGATCTCGGCTTTGAGGAGGATCGCGTCGCGGGGGTCGTGGACCTGGGCGGCGTTGCCCACTGCCTGGACGCTCTGGCCCAGCGCGGGGTGCACGTGCGGCCCGACGGCGAGGTGGTCACCGGGGCCCCGCCCGGGAGCAGCATGGCGCCATCTACGTTGCTCTGGGGCCAGGCTCGCAAGATACACGGGGCACTTCTGGAGGCGCTGCAGGGCACCTTGCACGAGACTCTTCGCGCCCGCTACTCCGGTTCGCAACGGAGTTCGGCGCGCCTGCCCAGCTGCGCCGTCTCTGTGTCCAGCCGGTGGCTCACCGAGTTCCCGACGTCGTGGTGGCCAGAAATCACGGACGACAAATTCGTGATGGCAGTCAAGTTCAGGCTCGGCTTGCCCGTGTACCTGGCCGGCCTGCAGTGCATGCACGCGAAGGCCAAGGACCAGTCGGACCACTGCGGGAAGAACTTGGATATATATATATGGCGACCATGCCGTATGCTGCAATACTGGTCCGTATATTTCAATGCGGCATGGTTCGCTGAACGGCATCCTGGCGCAGGCGGGCCGCGACGCCGGGTACTCGGCGCTCCTGGAGCAGACGGTCCCCGAGTTCGGCCTGAAGAAGCGGCGCCGGGACGGCAGGGAGACTCTGGAAGAAGCCATCTTGGACGTCGAGCTGTTCGGGCATCCGACGGCCCCAGAACGCCTTCTCGACGGCACGGTGCGCCACCCTGGGGCCAGCCACATCCTGCCGGCTGCTGCCGTAACGCCGGGTGCTGCCGCTGCCGAAGGGGTCCGCTGCAAGGAGGACCGGTGCCCGGACACGGGCGGCAAGTCAGTGGTCCCTTGCGCAGTGGAGACGTGGGGCCGCATCGACGGCCGCCTGTCCTCCCTGCTGGACGAGCTCGCGGTCCTCGCGTCGCAGCGGCGGCGTGATCGCGGCGTTCTGCCCACACGCTGGGGGGCGCGCTGGCGGACGCTCATCAGCGTCAGGCTGGCCATGGGCGTGGCGCGCGCGCTGCTGGACGCGGCGCCCGTCCAGTGCCGGCCCTGCGGCGCTGTGCGGAGCAGGGCCCCTGGGGCCCGGGCCGTGGGCCAGGCGGGCGGCGCTGGTGCGGCGGCGGCGCCGGGCGGGTAGTCCCCCGCTCTCCCCCTCCTCCTCCGCTTCCTCCTGCCACGTGTGCTTTGTGGGATTCATGCTTATTGTTCGAGAGAGAGAGAGAGAGAGAGAGAGAACAACGCCGATGCGGCGAGATCCCCCGTCGCAGCCATGGCGGCCAGGGAACCGGAGCCCTCAGAAGAGCTCGAAGACGACGATGCCGAGCAGGAGGGGGGACGCCGTCGTCGACGGCGTTGAGGGGGAAGACGGCCGTGCACGGGCACGGCATTATCGCCCTCCCCCCCGCTCTCCTGCAGCCGCGCGCGCACCAGCTGCAGCTTCGTGCTCGATCCACCGCCGCTGTTCCACCGCCGCCGATCCACCGGCCATGGGCGAAAGGGCGGCAGAGAAGGCGGGAAACACGGCCTGAGCCTAAAGGGCTACGGAAGGGAGGCGAGGGGAGGAGGAGGAGGAGGAGGAGGAGGAGGAGGAGGAGGAGGAGGAGGAGGAGGGGAAGAGGAGGAGGAGGAGGAGGAGGAGGGAGGAGGAGGAGGAGGGAGAGGGACGAGGAGAGGAGAGGGAGGGAGGGAGGAGGAGGGAGAAGGAAGGAGGAGGGCGGTGAGGGGGAAGGAGGGGAGGAGGGCGGAGGAGAGAGGGGGGAGGGGGGGAGGAGAGGAGGGGGAGGAGGAGGAGGAAGCACAGGAGGTCGGCGTCGTCTCCGCCGTCGCCGTCGTCGTAAAGCTCGTCGCCTCGTCGTCATCGTCGTCGTGGTCGACGTCGTTGAGGTCGCTCCTCCTGCGCCGTCTCTTCCTCCCCTGGGCGGGCGCGCCCAAGGCTAAGAGCGGGGGGGATCGTGGATGTTGGCCTGCGTGGGCCCCGAACAGTAGGTTCTTTCACTAGCGATGTGCACTCTATGTGGTGTAGTGTAAGGGGTGCCATCTACGTTGTGCAAACTGCAACCTGTGAGATGCAATATGTGGGATGAAGTGTGGCGCAACGTATGTGATGCAAGCTGTGAGGTGCAGGCTAGTTGGTGCAACATGTGTAGTGCGATCTAGTTACATGGTGCAAGAAAATTGATGCAACCCAAAGCCTAACTGATGCATGCAGCGTATGGGGGGCGACATCCACACCTTAAGACATATACATGTACACACATATATGTATATGTATATGTATCCATATACACATACATATACGTGTGTACACACATGTATATATATATATATAGGTATACCGATATCCTTCTCTTTCAGTTCACATGTACAGATGCTTCAGGTATGGCGCGTCATAAATGTGGCGCAATATTTGGGAGGCGGCGGCGAAGCGGTGAAGATGGCCACTGGGCGAAACATTGGTCCATTATCATCATCTTCCTCCCCTCCACCCAACGCTGACCCACCGACCTCCATTATGTGCGCTCTGACCATCATATCGAGGAAGAACAGGCCGCAGCGACGAGTCTCCCCGAAACCCCGAAACGAGAGGCGCATCACACAAAAAACTCAGGGAGGATGAAGAACACATCCTGAAACTTCATTTCTTTTCCTTGTAGTATTCTCCCTGTCGCACCCCGAGGGCGGTCGAAAGTGCGTGCCGGGCGTTTCACCTGAGACTTCCTCACCACGTATGACCGTGATGCTCAAACGCTGACAGCAATCCCACACATGGAGGGCGGGTCGTTGCCAAAATGTGGCTCTCGCCGAAGCGCCGCGCATTCGCTGCCAACATTTGTCAGAATTTCGCGGATTGAGGGCGGGTGGTTTTGAAGATGTGGCTCTCGTCTTAGCTCCACGCGGGTTCGTTACGGAAATTCGGGAGGGCTTCACGGATTGAGGGCGGGTCGTCTTCAAAATGCATGTGGCTCTCGCCCCAGCGCCGCGCACACTCTTTCAGAGAATCTGCAAGAGCATCACGGATTGAGGGCGGGTGGTTTTCAAAATGTGACAATCGCCTCAGCGCCGAACATATTTGGACTGACAATTCTGCAAGGGCTTCACGGATTGAGAGCGGCTCGTCTTCAGAATGTGGCTCTCGCCTTAGCGCCGCGCACACTCGGTTCAAACATTCGCAAGAGCTCCATAGATTGAGGGCCGGCCGTTCTCAAATTGTGGCTCTCGTCCTAGCACACCGCACACTCGTTCCAGACATTCCAAGAGCTTCACGGATGTGAGGGCGTTATTTTCTCAAAATGTGGCTCTCGCCTGAGCGCCACGCATGTTTGTTTTCAATATTTGCAGGGGGGTCACTGCTTCCCATGATTCGAACTGATGTTCGGAGTGATTCAGGACTGACAAGGCGCCACAAATACGTGGATTCGCGGTGTTGAAGTCCCAAGAATGGTGTTCTGGCACGATTCAGGATCGCTAAGACGTAACAGTCAGGTTAACGCGTAGCGTTGAAGTCCTGAGAATGGTGCTTTGGAGCGCTTCAAGATTTCACACGGTTGTCCCCCAACGGTGCAATTCCTTCAGTGGAAATGACCCCTCGCATGGGCCTATGACAAGGGATCTTGGGAGAAGGGTGAATTTCAGCGTTGATGAAACTTGGGATTACAATGGTCCTATTCTTCCTCCTCCACCTTCTCCTCCTCTCTCCTCCTTATCCTTCCGCCTCGTCCTCCCCCCCTTCCTCATCCTCCACCTCCTCCCTCCCTCCCTATCCCTGCTCCTCTCCTCCCCGTTCCGCCCCGCCCCGCCCTTCACCTCACGCCGCACGCGCGCGAGCGGGGATAACGAAAGCAGAGAGGGATACGGCGACGACGACAACAGCGACGACGACGGCGACGGCGACCACGACGACGACGGACGACCGACGACAACGACGATGACGATGACGATGACGACGACGACCACGACGCAAAGCCGACGACGACGACGACGACGACGACGACGACGACAACGACGACGACGACGACGACGACGACGGCGGCGGCGGCGGCGGCGGCGGCGGCGGCTGGCCTCCCTCGCCCATGCTCCTCGACCTGTAGGCGCCGTGCACGGCGCCTACGAGGGCGCTCTCCTTGGGGGGGGGGGCCGGGGCACCACGGCCTGTACTGGCGTGTGGTCGGGCAGCCGCACACCGATCGCGCTTTCAAGCGGTACGCCCGGGGGGAATTTGGAAAGGAAAACGAGTTTACCCGTTTACCCTGCCTCTTCCTCCTCCTCCTCCTCCTCCTCCTCCTGCTCCTCCTGCTCCTCCTGCTCCTCCTCCTCCTCCTCTTTTTCCTCCTCCTCCTCCATCACCCCGTCCACCTCCCACCTCACCACTCACCACTCCCCAAGCTCGTCGGCGCGCCCAGGGGGAAATCAGGAGGAGGAGGCCTTCTCAGAAGGCGGCGGGGCTTCTCAACCCCCCCCGTGGCCGTCCGAGAAGTTTCTTTTCGGAGAAGGTTTAGGAAACTCTTCGGAAGGCCGAAGGACTCCTGAGCCTTCTGGTAACGCCCGCCTTTTCCCACTTCGCTCCCAGGTTCGCCGCAAAGCTTCGCCACCCTGTCTCAGAGCAGACGAGACCAACGAAACCACATCGCAACAAGACGCCCCGAACGATAGCGGTTCCATCCGAACCGCCTGTCCTGCATCGCGGAAACCGTGCGGCATAACAACACCGTGGTTACATGTTGTCATCCGCGGTCCCGTTGGGGCCGAACCGATGGGTGACCTGTGAAAATCAGCAGGGGAGGAAGAGAAAGAGGGGATCGGAATGGGGACGGGGGGGACGTTCATTTAGTTCGCTTTCGTTTAGTCCTCTTTCGATTCGTCCTCTCTCGAAACCTGGGCGTCCTCTTTCGCTTCGTCCTCGTTCGTTCCGTCCTTTTTCGGAATCCGGACGAATCGAAACTGGGCGGACAAAAGGCGGGCGAATCGGAACGGACGGCATGATAGCCAGAAAAAATTTAACGAAATGAACCCGAATCGGAGGGGAGGGCAGGAACAGAGTTCTCCCCGAAGCGGGACCGCCACCGCGCGTCGCTCCCTGGGGCGCAGGCTGGCGACCGCGGCCGGGGGCTTTTTCGCGGTGTTGCAGCTCGGGCCAGCACGGGGACCGAGCAACGCGAGGGGCAGCAGCAGCGGTGGGCCCCAACGTTCTGGCCGCAGTCGCTGGCATCGCCAGTACGAAGTAATGACCGATACGCGTGAATATATAATCATACATACATACCTACAGCCATACATACATACATACATGCATACATACCTACAACATACATACATACTAGAACCATCGCGCGCGCGATCAGGTTCTACACCAGACCGGGGGGGGCATTGGGAGATCTTGGACAACACAACCAAACACAGGCCCCTCTCGGGCCGTCTTTGGCACCTCAAGCACCGTCTTGGGGCCCTCGTGGGCCGCCCCAGGGCTCCTCGGAGGCCTTTTCCTGCAATCTTGGAGTGGTCATGGGGGCCAGGTGGGCTGGCCGTCATGGAGTGTCGGGCTGCCAAAAGACTGTAAATTCGACAATGCGTCAGCAACCGATGGGAAAGCAATGAGTTGTGCCTCTTCGGTCCTTTTTGGGAGGCCTTCTGAAAACTCTTCGGCCCTCTTGGGAGATTCTTGAGAGCCTCTTGGATCCTAGTGGGGGCCTCTTGGGGTTTCCTGAAAATCTCTCGGGGTAGAAGGCTCGGATCCTCGGTTCGCGTTACCTCTCTGAGGCTCCTCTCAGGGCCGTTTTGGTGCTGTCTCGGGCCGCCTTGGGGGCCTCAGGCACCGTTTTGGGGCCCTCGTGGGCTGTCTTGGGGCCCTGTTGGATGCCTCTTGGGCTGTATTGGAGCGGTCTTAGATGTTACAAAATTTCGAAAATCCATTCAAACTGACGGCAAGACAGTGATGTTTGCCTCTTGGGGCCTCCGTGGGAGGCCTCTTGGAACTTCTTCGGCCCCCTGGGGAGCGTCTTGGGGCCTCTCGGAGCCTGGCGGGGGCTTCTCGGTGTCTGTTGAAAGCCTCTCGAGATGGAATTCTCGGATTCTCATTCGTGTTGCCCCTCTTGGCCCCCGCTTGGGGCCGTCATGGGGCCGTCTCGGACCCGTTTTGGGCGCCTCTGGCGCCGTCTTGGGGTCCTCTTGGGCTGTCTTGTGGCCGTCTTCGAAGCCCTTGGGGCTGTCTTGAAGCGGTCATCGAAGCCTCTTCGGGCCGTCGTGGAGCGTCGGGAACGCAGAAGAGGCAATAACTCGAGAGTTCATTAAAACCTAAGGAGAATCAGTGACGTTTGCCTCTTGGGGCTTTTCTTGGGAGGCCTCTTGGAGGCCTCTTGAGGCGTCTGGGCCCTCTCAGCCTGTCTTCTACGACCCTCTGGGCACTTCTGGGTTCGCTTTCCCTTTCTTGGGCCTCTCTTGGAGCCGTCTTGGGGCCCTCTCGGGCCGTCTGGGACGTCTCAAGGCGCCGTTTCGGGGTCCTCCTGGGCCATCTTGGGGCCCTCTTAGAGGCCTATCGGGCTATGTTGGAGCGGTCTCGGGTGCCTCCTGGACCGTCTTGGAGCGCCGGTAAACTGCAAAAAACGAAAATTCTAAACTCTTCAAACACATGTTATTGAGAGGCATCTTGGATGCCTCTTAGGGCCTCTGAGGGGCCTCTTGGGGGCCTCCGCGGGCCTCTTGGAGGCGTTTTGGGGCCCTCCAGGGAGCCGCTTGAAGTGAAGCTCGGATTGTCGGTTCGGGTTACCCCTCCCGTGCCCTCCTGGGGGCCGTCTTGGAACGCTCTTGAGCCGTCTTGGACGCCTCGGGCGCCATTTCGGGGCCCTCCAGGGCCGTCTCGGGGCTCTCTTGGAGGCCTCTCGAGCTGCGTTGGAGCGGACGTTGGGGCCTCTTGGGAAGTCGTGGAGCGTCGGGGCGCTGGAAAAGCGAGAACTCGAAAATCCGGTAAATACCCTGGGGCAAATCAACGACGCATGCCTCTTCGGATCCTCTCGGGGGGCCTCTTGGGGCGTCGGGGAGGCCTCTTGAAAAGTCCGGGTCTGATTCTGGGGCCACCTGGGCCGTTTTGGGGCCATCTCGGGCGTCTCGGAGCCCTCTGGGCCTGTATTGGAACGCTTTTGGGGCAATATGGTGCCGCTTTGGACGTTCCAGGAGAGCTCCAGGGTCCCCCTTAGGGGCCTGCTTAGGGGCCGCGGGCCTGCCCTATTACATATATAACTATTTAGATATAAATATGTATACGTATATACATCTGTATACACATTTATATATATATATATATATATATATATACATATATATATACACATGTATATACATATGTCTATATGTACTTATATATATACACACTAGAACCCACGCGCGCGCCACGCGCGCGCGTAGGTTCTATTCATAGCTTCTCCAGGGCTCTCCGCAACCGCAGCCAATCTCTACGGCTGCAAGTCCGAAGAGCCCCGGCGCGACTCCTTCTCCGTGCTGCTCTGCGTTCCTTCCCCGAAGGAGATCGCGCTGGACGTCTTTCGCAGTCGTCGTCGTCGTCGTCGTTGTCGTCGCAGTCGTCGTCGTCGTCGTCGTCGTCGTCGTCGTCGTCGTCGTCGTCGTCGTCGTCGTCGTCGTCGTCGTCGTCGCAGTCGTCGTCGCAGTCTCAGTCTCAGTCGTCGTCGCAGTCTCAGTCGTCGTCGTCGCCGCAGTCTCAGTCGTCGTCGTCGTCGTCGTCGTCGTCGTCGTCGTCGTCGTCGTCGTCGTCGCCGTGGTGCGACACCGGCTGGCTCAGGGAGGGCCCGGATGGCAGGGGCGGGCGCGGGGGCGGGCGCGGGCGCCGCGGAACTGGGACCAGGACCCGGGATGCGGAGGAAGAGGAGGAGAAGGAGGAGGAGGGAGAGGAGGAGCAGGAGGAGGAGGAGGAGGAGGAGGAGGAGGAGAGAGAGGAGAAGGAGGAGGAGGAGAGGAGGAGGAAAAGGAGGGAGGAGGAGGAGGAGGAGGGAGGAGGAGGAGGAGGAGGAGGAGGAGGAGGAGGAGGAGGAGGAGGAGGAGGAGGAGGAGGAGGAGGAGGAGGAGGAGGAGGAGGACGAGGGAGGAGGAGGAAGAGGAGGGGGAGCAGCAGGAGGAGCAGGAGGAGGAGGAGGGGGAGGAGGTGGAGGAGGAGGAGGAGGAGGAGGAGGAGAAGGAGGAGGAGGAGGAAAAGGAGGAGGAGGAGGAGAAATCCGTAGCCATTTTGGCTCAAGGCTAAACGTTGTGAAGGGCTACAGACGCCCGAGAATCAGATATCAGCTTTGGCCGCATCCGTGGCCATCTGTCGAGGCCGGAGCGGCCAGAGCTTTGCGAGCACGTCCGCCACGGCGAGCCGCCCGCGCGGCCGTGGCAGCACTTTCGGAAAGGAGGTTTCCCGTCAGCCATGGCGCCTGGATGGTACTGTGGCAAGTGCGGGTTCTACAGCTACGGGCATCGTCGCGCATGTCGGCCGGCAGAATGCGATGGATGCAATGCATTTCAAGCAGTGCATCCAGATCAAGGTTGCTGGCCGCAGTTCATGGCGCCAGGAGCCGCGTGGCATCAAGGCCCACCCGCGCCCCGCAAGGGTGACGGGGGCAAGGGGGGCGGCAAGACGTTCAAGGGCAGAGGGGGAGAAAGGCGACGTCGGAGGAACAACCCCGCCTGGCAAGAAGGGTCCTGGCAGTGTGCAGCCAGGGAGAGCGCTCGCGCCCGCGGAGCGCAATATGTGGCTACAGATGGGAGAAGAGCAGTTTGCCGTCTTGGGTCAGAGTTTGTCGCAATCGCACAGGGGCCAGCTCACCCACGCCAGAGCCATGGCGAACAACGGTTTGCAGGGCGCCCAGGCGGAGGCGCAGCAGGCCCACTTGCAGATTGGGAAGTACTCGCAGCAAGTGCTGCACCAGAAGCAGAGGCTCGCGAAGCTGGAGGAGCAGTCCTGCGCGGCCATCGTGGCGGCGCTGGATGCGAAGGAGCAGCTGCGCGAGACGGAATCGCAGTTGGAGGAGGCGAAGCGCAGGGCGGCCCAACATCTGGGTCGGCAGGCTGCGCAGGCGCCCGCGGTCCAGGCGGACGAGGTTGAAGGCCCCATCACGGAGGCCATGGGCAAGCCCA